TGTGGGGCTGGTGCGGGATCGGGCAGTGTTTCGTTCTGCTGTGCATGGGGTCGCTATGAGTCGGAAACGACTCGACGGCACTTAACAACAACAACAAGTAGTTTGGTGCATACCACACTTGATCTCATCCTCTAACTGCATATCATTGAAGATGGATTTCTTGATATCCTTGCATCTCTTTTCTCTTGATTGCAGAACTTTGGGGCTATTTTTAGGCACTGTGTTAGCCTGTCATTTTTGACACCTTTGCATTGTCACTTTGAACTGAAGGTCTGTGGTCTACAGCTCCATGTCTCCCCAGGGCAATACCCTTTGGGAAATGGAAGTTTTGGAGAGTTGGTTTGGGAAGATGAAAAAATAACCCTAGAAGAAGTAGAAGTTCTTAAATTTGGGCGTGGTGTCTTACTTCTTTATCAGGTTTTTCTTTATTTGACCTTTTCCAAGAGGAAATCTTATTCTTTCATCTGTATCAGCTTTTGGTTTGGCTCCCCCAGCTCCAACCAGGAGTTCTGAGGATCACAGACACCAGATATCTAGGACAGAATACCTTTGAGTCTGGTATGAAGAAAGCCAGTTGCAGCATCATATCCTAAAGACACTGGAATTCAATTCCATACTTCATTTTACCCCTTGGTATAGCTCTCTGGATTAAAAATATTACAGCCACAATTGTATTTAACTGATGGAGAAACTTAGGCCTGATGACAGTAAAAGATTTGACTAAAGTGACTGAACTCATTTTTTTATGACTGTGTAAATTGCCACAAACTTAGAAACTTAAAGCAATACAAATTTATTACATTACAGCTCTGAAGGTCTGACACAGGTATTACTGGGCTAAAACCAAGGTGTCAACAGAATTGTGTTCCTTCTAGAGGCTCTGGAGAAGAATCCATTTATCTTCATTTTATAGCTTCAGGAGGCTGCCCACATTCCTTGACTCATGGCCCCTTTCCCCCATCTTCAAAGCCAGTACTGTAGTATCCTCAAATTTCTCTGTGGCTCACACCTCTTTTTCTGCCTTCTTTTTCAATTTTAAAGCACACATGATTACATTGGGTCCGTCCCTATAATTCAGGACATTATGAGCTCTGGTAGCATAGTGCCTAAGGCACTTGACTGCTAACCAGCAGTTCAAACCCACCAGCCACTCCTCGGAAGGAAGGTGGGGCAATCTACTTCTGTAATGATACTTCCTCGGAAACCCAAGGAGGGGTCGCTATGAGTCGGAGCCGACTCGACGGCACATAACAACAACAACAACATGTCCATCTAAAGTACAACTGATTAGCCACCTTAATTCTATATGCAACCTTAATTCCCCCTGCCATGTAACCTAACATACTCACAGGTTCTGAGGATTTGTATATGGAGATCTTTGAAGGGCCATTTTAAAAGAGATCCAGGACTGGAAGCCCAGTTCAGTAGCCTTCTTCAGCTTATAGACATGATTGTGGTAAGCACCCCAAGAGGCCAAGTGAGAATATGTTTTGAAGAAGAAGTAATCTGGGGACTTGACCAGAGAGTGTGAGGAAGATAATCTTTATGGCTAGAAATAAATGTCAGAATCTCAATAAGGTAGCATTTTGGTGAAACTGGGAGGACTAGTCCAAATGCCTGGGCCAATCAACCATCTCTCTAGCTTCTCTAATATCTTTCTCCTGAGCCTGGGATTTGTCTCTCTACCTAGCTAAGAAGGAAGATCCTATCTAGGAGAAGATGAAAGATGGAAAGAAAAAGGACTACAGTGGTTTGGACTGACCCTTGGAACACTTGTTTCTGGCCTCATATTCAACTAGATACCACCAGGTCTTGTTTCCCTCCTAGGTAAAAGTCTGCCTGTCTTTGCAATAATCCTCATCATCTCCTTCTGCTGTACAGTGATATTCATCATGGCTTATATAATACTCAACCACAAAACATCCCAACAGGGTGAGTAATGAGTAGGGTTGGGGTGGCTCTTGCTCTTTCATTTATTCCGGAAGCATATTTGAGCATGCATTCTGTATCAGGCACTGTGTTAGGCATTTGAAGGAGGTACTAGTTTAGGAGTAAGGATAAGAATGTAGGGACATATGTGCAAGCCCACAATGACAATTCAATTAATGAAAATGAATTTACAAACCTTTGCTACTCAGCCTAGTACAGCCATCCCTGTAATGGGTCACTTTCTAAAGATGTAAGGGAAGGAGTTGTCACAATCCCTACCCTGCTTATAATTTATTCAGGAATTTAGAGAATAGAAGCATGGAGTTTATCAATAACAATGCATAGCAATAAAAGTCTAAATACTCAAACTCAGAGAAGGCAATTAATGCTGTAGGGACACAGAGAAGAGGAGAGACAGGGTTTTGAAACAACCAAAAATGAAACTCACTGCCATCGAGTTGATTCCAACTCATAGTGGCCCTATAGGACAGAGTAGAACTTCCCCCATAGGGTTTCCAAGGCTGTAAATCTTTATGGAAGCAGACTGTCTCATCTTTTTCCCATGGAGCAGCTGGTGAGTTTGAACTGCTGACATTTTGGTTAGCAGCTAAATGAGTTAGACCTTGGAGAATGAAAACAGTTTAGATAGGGACAGTACTCCAGGATGGAGGAAATACGTGAGTAAAGATCTAAAGGCCTAATAGATGACTGTGAGTGGTATCATCAATAAAGGGAATTTGTGTAGATTAGCACTGGCAAAATACAAAGGGAAATAAAAATTTATTCCTGATTTTATAAGGCCCTGAATACCAAGCTAAGGAATTTGGACTTTCATCTCTAGGCATTGCAAAGGCACCAAAAGTCATCTAAAGTTTTGAGCAAGGCAGTAACATGACCAAGGCACTCTTGTCAGAACCATTTAACAACTGAGAACCCTCAGAGGAGGAATAAGAAAATAAGAGTGTTTGTTTCTAAAGGCAAACTCAGCCACATCCACTGCATTAGCTATTTTGCCTACCAGTAACTTGTCGCAGATACTACACCCAAATAACCTGGTTTCAACCATGAGTCTTGCCAACCAAAGAGAAGAGAAGAGCCTTGAATATCTCTTCCCATCAGGTCTCAAGTCTAAGCTCTGGTCTTAGCCAGTTAGCATAATTATGTCCTATGAAGCTAAACATAGGGGCAGACATACTACAAGTGGCCACAAAAAGCCCAGAAGTGCTAAAAGGAAGGCATCCATCATAGTCCTGATGAGGCTGGGTATAAACAGTAACATATTGGATTATTTCCCTCACAAAAACCTTCCTGGGCTCCTCTTGACCGAGGGCACAGTGATCATAATGTGATATTCCATTCAAGGCTTTCTGTGATGTGGCTCTAGCCTATCTTCTCAACCCCCACCACTCCACTATATCTATTCTAATCTCCAGTCACTGGAGTTAACCAGGCAAATAGGCCTTATATTTCTTACCTCCATGCTTTCTCCCTTCCCAGAATTCCTCTTCTTTGCTATCTCTCTATAAGGGAGACAGCTTCAGCATCAATTCAATTCAACATATACTTACTGAACACCTACTGTGTGCCAGGTACTGGGCATAAAAAGATGAAAAAGATTTAACTCCCTCACTTCAGGCATTCCTGGGACAATGGGGGAGGTAAGAAACAGAAACACTGAACTCTACCACAGGCAGAATGCTTGAAGCAGATTGCTGTGTTTGCTTTCTTGCAGTTGAATACATGCATTCTCAGTGGCATTCCTGAAAAATTGTAAGTCTCTACAGGGTAGTGGTAAGAGATAGCCATCTCTGTAAGCCTTTGGATCTACTTGGGTATCAGGTACTTCTCCTTAACAGGCACTAGGGGGCAATAGTGACCTATTCCAGGGCTTCTCTAGGTGCAGGATTGAGGGTATTTGGCAGTAGAGTAGACCATGGCCACTGTCACCAGACTAACCCAACTTTCTCTGCCTACGCTCTGACCTGTCTGTCAAATTAGCACAGGGCTTCTTTTGGGATCTTTGGTAAGATTCCTGGATGGAACGTGGGTACCCTCCACATCAAGCAACCTCTCCAGCCTAATGTGCTAAGAGTGTGCCAGAAATGATAGTGACCAAATGTGCTTCCCCTTACTCTCCCTGAGAAATCTGAATCCCTATATTTCAATGCCACCTCCCCACTGTCTCCCAGTTTGGGGAAAGCTGAGACATCTTAAGATCTCTCTTTCCATCTCAGCTTTCCTCATCTATTGACTGGCACCTGAAGTCTGTGCTTGACTCTGTGTACTCCCCATGGAGACTTCTGACCTGACTCCCCTTTCTTTTCTAGAGCATGTATATGAAGTGGCCAGGTAAGATAACCTCTCTTTTCCATTGTCTCACCCCTTCCTTACCCTCAGTTCTGTTGAACACTGGTAGGAAACATGGAAGAAGGGGTGTGTGGAACAAACCTAAGGAGGTCTTTAAGGTCAGGGACAGAACTTTCTTCCCTCTCTGATGCACCTCCTGAGGCTCTTTCCTGGCTCACTGAACACACATGATGATTCAGGTCCACTATCCCTCTGTTCTCAGAATCCCTGGGTGGGAAGAACCTGAGGGTCAGATGGCAAGAATTGGGGCCAAAGGGTGGGGAATCAAGGCCGTGTTCCAGAGTCCCTTCTCATTGGTGGTGGGCTCTTGGGCCACAGGTTGCATACCAGAGGGGCCAGTGACTCCGGAGAAACCATGAAGGTGGCCATTTTCACCAGGGGTTGCCTCAATGAAGAGCCAACTGCCAAGGACCTGGGCAACGACTACTCGAACGAGCCCTGCCTGGGCCAGGAGTATCAGATCATCACCCAGATCAACAGTGACTACGCCTACCTGCTGCAAACAGTGCCTCTGGATCATGAGTTTCTGGCTATAGAGGGCAAGAATGTTTGCTGAAGGTGCCCCACTAGTCCAGAGTTTGCTGACATAATTGTTTGTTAAACCCCTGCCTTCTGCATGGCTCCTTTCCCTGCTACATCTATACCTGGCTAGCCGAAAGTGTCTTCACTGCCAACATTGGGGCCCTTGGGAGTGATTAGCTTTGTCCAAGATGTTTCCATATGCATCTTAAGTAAGACAGTTGCTCAATCTAGCCCTAGAACTTTCTAGTATCCCTATCTGAGGCTTCTGTTGCTCCTCTTCTAACTCCAGAGAAAGTGTCCATAGCACTAGGATTTGTTCACCATGCCTCTAGGCATCATTCAACTTTGGCTTATTGACACCAGAAAACCAGAATCAGAATCATCTCTGCCATCTCAGGGGATCAGCTATTTCCATGTTTACTTCCCTTTCTCTATGGCCAGACATCTCTTAATTGTGATTGTCATGTCACAGGCCAGTGGTCAGTTCTGCTTTTGCATTTGGAGCTAGTACCCTGGTATTCTTTTGGAGCTCAATAAATATCTAATCATGATAGCAACCTCAGAAGTGTTGGTCTTCTCTTAAGGTGTAGTAGGATCTACCAGAGGGATTAAAGTAAACTAGTTGAGATGGCTGTGGTCCCTCAGGGTATGGATGGCCCTTTTGCTTTTTTGGTCTTTCCCTTCCCTCCCACGCTACTCCACCACACTCCACAGATGGGCCAAGATGTAGTGCAATGAATTTTTAGTAAGACAGTCCTACACTAACTTCCATTCTCCTCCACATTCTTCTGCCAGCTTCACCAGGATAGCGCTTTCCAAGCCAATTGGAAATATGTAAAAGAAGAAGCACTTCTGTCTCAGGGGACTGAGTGTATAAATGAAGGCCTTTTCTTCTCTCCAAAGTATAGATCTATCACCAACTCCCCAAGGATTTCCACCTCCTGGAAACCTAAAATCCCTTTGGTGTAAATATTTTTCATAAATCATCTTCTATCATGCTCTATTCCTTCTTTCAATGTGAGGTGAGGGTCAGAGTAAGGAAGTATTTCCCCCCAAGCAGAAAAGGGAACTAGAAATTTGCATGTGTGTGTGGGTGACTATATATAATTTTAATTCAGGCTTCCCTGTAAGGAACTGTTCTGGGTCAGGTCTACATTGCTTCCTTTCCTCCACATAATCATGTCCAATAAATTTCTTGGAAGCTGCCATGTTGACACTTTGTGTTCCATTGCCATCAAGTCGATTGCAACTCATAGCAAACCTATCAGAGAGAGTAAAACTTTTCTGTAGGGTTTCCAAGGCTATAATCTTTACAGAAGTAGACTGTCACATTTTTTTCTCCCATGAAGCAGCTGGTGGGGTGAAATCACTGACTATTCAGTTAGCAGCTAAGTTTTCAACCACTGGTCCATCAGGGCTCGATTTTGGGGTGATTGACTCTTATAGTCAAAATAGTACACTAAAAAGAATAAGGAGGAGTCTTCTCCCTAACTGCCACCCAACCTGCAAAGTCTATGGTCAAAACTTCAAGCTTTTCTTCAGATCTGTATGTCAGCTTCATAAGCTGGTGAAAGAAGTAATTTCTTCTTCCTCATTATGCTTACAAGCTTCTGCAACAGGAACCCCACACAGCATAGACCTCAGTTTTCCACAGGAAACAGCTCTGTATCCAGACCTCACAGCCTTTTAAAACAGTCAATAGCTCTTCCTAATACCATGAAAACAATTGGGAAGAAAATTATAGCTGCATTTCCATTAGTAAAAGAACCCCAAGTCCAGGGACCCTCATCCATAAAAACTGTGGACCACCAGGAA